GTTCAAAAGTGCAGTGACGCTTACCATTCTGATGAAATTGTTATTGAATGTATCAAGTTATACATGAATGATTCATATTAAGAGATATTTTGCTGAATAAGTTTTGCATGTATCACTTGACAATAAAAAAACGATCTACAATATTCATTTTATATATTATAGTTAAACATTTTTTTCCAGGTTGGAAAGCATCTCAAAAATAAAAATGAGAAAATTTAACGTTAAAGTATGAATTTGTTAACGCGAGCTACGAGCAGGAAAGGTAGACGTAACATTTTTTCCAGATTGGAAAGCATCCCAAAAGTAGAAATGAGAAAATTTAATGTTAACGTTGAAGTATGAATTTGTTAGCGCGAACTGCGAACAAGAAAAGTAGACAGGCATTTGAAGATTGCCGAATAAAGAGTTGCCCGTTGAATCGTGGGTGAATAAACGAGAAGTGAGTCTGCAATAAAGGAAAAGTGCCCCGTTAGGACAACTATGGAGGAAGTTGTCAACAATAGCGGTGCTTAGAAGCAAAGAAAGTAAGTGGTGACACACGTCGCGGGCGACAGAAGGATGGGTGAAAACCGAAAATAGAGAAGGTCGAAACGGCGACCCTTGGTGCACTTTCGGTCGGGATGCTTTCGCTAGGGTCGGACTATTGTTCCTCTCGCCGCCGGAAATGCGAATTTTCACTTACGCTCGTCTGAACGTGGTCGCTGCTTACACCGCTTTGTTTTATTCTGAAAAGCAAGTTTCACGCGCTATTCCGAGTATCTATTTAAAAACACTTGCGTTTATTTATTATTTCAGACTAAATTGGAAATTTGTTCAATGAATTATATTTCAATATTCCACTTTATAATCCGATGATTTTTACGTTAATGTTCTAAAGTGCCCAAATTTTTATTTTAGTTTGGTGAAATAAACAATTTGATATAAATGTTATATATCGAAGCCGCGCAAAACAATTGCTTCATATTGTTTCCATTATGATATAACAAACAGACAAATTATAAAAAATAAATCAAACATGATAAAGTTGAAATTTTATCTTTTGAAATGAATGAAAAATTATTTTTTATATATTGGAGATATAAAATGAAAAGTATTTCATAGAATATGTACATATTGCGAAGAATATTAAATACAGGATTATAACTAAAAATTTAATGACATTTTATTACTTGCTATTACTCTCGTTGCTAGATCATTTAATAATTGATATATTTCATTAATATTTTGCTATTCTTAATATTTTAGCCTATCGCGAGAGGATTTCAAATGTCGCATATCTTTCAGCGAGACAGCTGAAATTCCTGCGCGATGCGGTAGGAATCGAATTTAGGAAGATTCGTTCGGACGCATTCGCGCACGGTTGAAGGATTACGGATGCCTGGTATGCAAATAAATCGTTATTTCGCGGCTTTCGTTAAATCAACTAAATTATTCCGTTAAATCGCTGTGCCGTCGTTTCGTCGCGCTGACGTTTTCCCAGTTTCACCGGCCGAAAGTGAGTTACGCCGTTTCAATCGTCAGAATGAAAAGTGTCAAAGGACGGCATAAATCTGCACGTTCAAAAACAAAGCGCCGGCCTCTGAAAACGAATATTCAGTGGAAAATATCGCGCCTCTCTCGCGCCCCGGTTATTTAAACCAACGGTATTTTCTACGAAAGTAATGGATCCGCTCGTCAAGATAAAGGTCTGCGATGTCGTTTGTTTGTTTCTTTTTCTTTTTTTTTTTTTCAATATTTCAATGCAATGGAACAGCAGGTTAATGCGTAAATATTGAGCTTGTTTTCGCAAATGCGTCGGAAGCTCCTCGGCAATTACGCCGATGCGATTAAAGTGGAATTAAATCATAAAACAGCCGGTCTTGCGCGGGTCATGAAATAGCGCGAATAAAAGTGCGCAGCGGCGTAACTCGTTATAACGCAGTTAATGCCGATCTCGAGAAAATTCAGCGGGATGCAATCTAGAGACGACGACGTACACTTAAGACATTTAATTGAGGCGTCAAGGATGAAACTTTGCCGATCGATACATAGGGCACTCGACGATCGCAGCAGAGATACGGATGAGCAACTGTACACTTAATCCTCTCCCCTGCCTGTCTTTCTCTTCTCTTTTTTTCTTTCTCTTCTCTCTTTTTTTTTTGTTTCTCTTAGTACTCTTTTGCGCGATCGTAGCTCGTCTGATGCTGCACTCGACAGGAGAGCTCTACAGATTACTAGCGTACGAAGCTTTTCTACTTGAAGGTTCTTCGAGATTTATCTACTTTATGGAATGGAAGATCCCGGACGTCTTTATAGTTAATCACGCGAGGTATCGTGTAAAACGTGTGTATCTCATTTGCGTCACAATATTCAAAGTATTCGTTTAACAAGAACAATAAGCTCTTGCAATAGTAACATGCTGCTCGGTCACTTTTGTGTGTGCTATGCATTTTATTTTAATTAATATTTTTAATTTATACAAGTTTTTTTAGTTTTTTTATCGGAATAAACAGTTAATAAATTTCTAGATATTTGTGAGAATTTCACATCAAATAGAATCGAATAGAGGTAGAAGTAGAGCGTTTCGAATGGCATGTGAATAATGAATGGCGATAAAACGAGCTCGATTCCGTATTTATGACGACAATTTGGCCAGTGATGAAGGAGGCCGAATTCGAGGTATTTTGCGCGAGAAATTATGTATGAGACCTTTCGTATAATAGCGCGTATGAAAAATATCGAAAACGATGAATGAAAAAATGTGCGACAATTCAAACATCATTGTGCATAAAATACAAAAGGCATACATATGTATGCAACGTATTCGCGATATCAGTGCATTAAAATGATAATTTGCTTGCGCAGTTGTTATAAATTGACGACGAAAATCAGACATATTGCAACGTGAAATTTTAATTTTTGTAAATCAATGTTGCATATTTTACAGCGTGCGGTTGTATCGGGAAAAAATCTCTATGTACATATATTAAAGATAAATATGCAGTTTTAATATACAACAATTATATAACGTATATTTCGTTTTTATATCTTCTATTAATTAATTATCCAAACAAATTATCATAGAAGTAAATTAATTAATAGTAGATTTATTATTATATCAATAAACGCGGTTGTATTTGTGTTTGTTTCAAAATAATTGATAAAACTATTAATGTTTACGAATAATCTTAATTAACGTTATGTAGAACGCACAGCAGATTAATAACCTGGAAACAAAATTCCATCCACGGACTTAGTTTATTGATAATCGTGTTGGCTATGTGGACGTGCACAGAATGTTCCAAAGTGACGGCAACCATAGTTCATCCTTTATTAAATTTCAATATCAAATTACGACACGGAAAAGTGTAGATATTAAGCAGAGTCTACGTGAGACAAATTTTCAATAACATATTTTGACATTTTTTATATTATAAGTTAAAAAAAAATCCAAGGTGTAAGAGTTTTCCTTTCTCCATTTTTATAAATCTGTCTTTTTTACTTTTTGCTTATCCTCCGCAGCTGCAATAAGATATCTTTCACGAAGCGGAGCTAATTTTGTAGTGTAACGACCAGACTATTAAACTTTACAATTTCGCAGTTAGAATTTTATTATTCTTTTTTTTTTTTATTACAAAGTAAGTTTGTCAATTTGCATGTAGAATCGTATTGCGAGCTACAAATTCACTGCAAGTCGCTACAATGCGGCGTTGAATGCAATTCTTTTGCGCGAATCCGCGACAATGTATCTCGATATTGGTTGTATTGAGGTGAGGAGAAAAGCCTCAGTGAGCGGCGAAATAGGTGGGATAGACGTAATCGAACGGGGCGAGAAACAGAGTGGAGTATAGGCGCAAGCTCGGATCTTCCGCGTGCAATTCTAATCATCCAGTAAGGTCACGTAGCTACAACTACGAAGACGTATATAGAGAGTAAGGCGGGGCGGGGTTGCAATACTTACGGGTTCCCCGTTGAGCTTCCACGTAACGGTGGAGGCGGGCCGGGAGTTGCCTGAGGTGCAGTTCACTCGCAGCGTCTCGCCCACCGTTATGCGCTCCTTCTCGGTACGAATCATAGGATCCGTTTTTGGGGCGTCTAAGGCATAATAATTATGTCGTTTAGCACATGCGACTGCTGCCACGGCACTAACTCGACACCTGGCGACGCGCCAGCACGGCGCCGAGGGCGTCACAGAGCGTACAGGAAACACTTGGACAACGACCCCGTCATGCTCGGTACCGACGACGAGGGCTAGTGTTTCCAGCGGATCCCTCGACGCCGCCGTCGCGCATTTTGTTTAACAATTTGTAATCTATGTCACGTCGTGATATTCCCGCCGGAGTGTGTACGCTTATGTGATATATGAGTTTCCTCTTTGGCTGCGCAGGACCAGCTGCGTATAACACTCAACAACGTTAAAATTACGGGTTGTTCTTCAAAACTTATAATTTTTAAGAAAAGTCGTAATAAAGAATTTGTTCTGGCGATTAAAACGTGATTGAAACAAAATTGTGACAATAATACAACGATGTGACATGATTAACTTTTTCATTACGCGCACAATTTTAGAAATATTAATTTTTAGTGAGTAGTTTTATTTTATTTTGCATCTGTCAGAGTATTGCACAAGCATAAAAAATGTACCATTACTCTGAATCACATTTCACATCATATTTTAAATAAAAATGTTTGTGCATCAAAGGGTGAAAATAAAATTAGAAGAAAATGCGTGGAAATTCAGTCGAAAATAAACGAAATATCTTATTGGTGCATTACAGACTATATCGATTTTATCCGAATTCGGTGCTAGAGTCGCTCGTTGAAACCTCATATATGTATTTACGAAATATATTACCGTTACGAGATCGAGCACCGAAATAAACGGAAAGCATATGCGCGATCCTAGAAACGAAAGATTTATCTTCGATCGAAGCGATAGAAGTTTACTTAATCCCTAAGAATTGCGACACACTTACCCACTACTTCCATCTTGGCCCTTTCGATCAAAGTGTGGAAGGTAATGGCGTCCGACACCTCGCATTTGTACATCCCGGTGAGGTTTCTGGACACGCGCACCAATGTTACATCGTGCGAGTTCGATTTGGAGATCTGCAAAACGCAAAGCTTGATGTACCGTGCTCCACCTATGTGCTTTCGTTCCATCCTCTCTATTTTCTACGATTCTCCACCATCTGCTCGTTTTTCCCAACAGACGGGGGGTTTTTTTTTTTACGACAGTGTACGCCGTATCACCATTTTTCATGCGCGATAGATTCACGTCAATAGTTTTTTACAACCGCGTATCTCCCATAATCCTTCCAATCCTCGACGGTATTTTCGTGCCGATAATTCGCGCCGCGGTGTGAATTATTTTCGCGTAATCTCGTAAGAATTCATACGGAAATTTCGCGAGCGTCTACAACATTTGAACATTTCCGATGTTGCTCCAATTAAACTTTACGCTTCGCAATCTCGAGTTGAGGGAAGGAAGTTTGTCGGGAAGCGGTGAATAAGATGCAAGGAATATTCATTACGGATGGTTCACCGCTTCGGGATAGTTAACGGTTCTTTTTATCCGGTGTTATGAGGGTGTTATGACCACAAGACAGAAAATTAAATCTGCAAATCTGAATGATTGTGAAGACTTGTACTTGGTTATTCTGTCGACTGTCCGGACGCGAAACAGAGAGAGAGAGAGAGAGAGAGAGAGAGAAGAGTGAGAGGGAACGGATAATAAGTATCGATCGTGCATTCGGGCAACTTCGCTAAAAGCACGGATCTCAGTGAAACTGTCACCGAAGTAACGCCGTTCGCGAAGATTCCTTTCAAAACGACGTTCTTCGGAGTGCTTTTACAGGGTGGGGAGGGGGGGGAGGGAGACCTGATGGTGCTAGATATAGGTTACTGCGCGGACGAGAATTTTTTACCGGCACATCTTTGCAGAAAGCATCACGTCTTAGCTATCTCTTAGACGCCGAAAGAACAAAGGGCGAAAGTTTCTTGTCTTTGCAATATCGATCAACGTGACATCATTGATTCGAAACACGTGTATGACTTCTATGTCAAAAATAAAGTTAGCAGCGTGCTTCGACTTCGTACGCTACTTCCGAATATGCCGGAGAAATGTGCATATCTATCACGGAAACTTCGAATAGCGAGGGATGACGTAGAATTCTTGAATACTGAGTATTAAAATAAAAAGTTGGCATAAAGATATGCACGGCGAGTTTCAGGCGGAAGTAAAGTTGAAGTAGAGCGGAACTCTTTCCGCAATAGCACGAGAACAAATGGTGATTTGAAAAGTATAAATAATAGGAATGTTAAAATTATAATTAAGTTATTGCAATTTTTATATGCTACATAATTATTCTTCTGCGCGAACTTAAATTCCGTTAAGCAGATTATTCGCGTTGCCGTACGTAAAAAAAGTTTTATACCGCAAAAAATATCCGACTAATCTAAGCGCGGCCGCTTCTCCTTTTTCATTCGATGTCGCTGCACCGAATTCTCCTGATATTAAACATTGCCAAAATGCTCCGTATTTTCTGTACTGCTGATCGACTCTACGTTCGAACCTTTCCAGGTTTTAAATCTAAATCCCGCGATCCGCCCGTTTCTTTTTGCGCTGCACCGCTGCTCTTTTCCTCTTCGCAGGCATTTATATTCATCGCGGCGAGCGTCTCCGCCTCCTTTACAAACTATATCGGATGAGGGGACAAGTCTTTTTCATCGTTTCTTCCGCTTCTGGCATCGGCGTGGACGAGACGCTCGATGAAAAATATCATTGAAAAGGGTTGTGCGCCGCGACTATTCGGATCTGCCGGTGTGGAAACCAACGGGAGCCACGCGTTACCGCTTTTATGAAAAGTGTGAGCATGTACCTTATTTTTCACACGTCCTATATTCCTGATTAGATGAAGCCGTATGAGCAAATATACACGTATTCGTGATACGCATTGAAATTAAAGAAAAAAACAAACCTTTGTATCAGCAATTCGCGTTATTTATCAACCGTGAAGTTTGTAATTTGATTTCTGAACATATTGCCTTTTTTAAGATATTTTCTTCTTACACTTACGTGTACCTTTATTCAACGCTTGATATGATGTCTTTTTCTTTAAAAGCCCGCGGCAGCAATATCCGAGATTTTATTCCCCGTATTCGTTAAAACGTTACGAGTGCACAAGCAAGCTATTCTCTCTCGATTCATCGATTACATCGTAGTAACAATAGCTCAATACCGTTACATGGTATTACAGACCATGACTCATGTGGAACAAATATCGCCTATTCTTATATCGACTGAAAATACTCGCTCGGAGATATACGAGCCAATCGCGATAGACGATAGAAACTTAATCGAATAGTGAAAAATTATTATCCTAAATCTTCGGGCACGAACACCTTTATCACAGTGATCGCGTTTCACGTACCACGAGCGTTTTGTACAAAGCCATCGCTTTCCCTCGAGTTTAGTTCAGCGATAACGCAGCGATGATCGGCGAGAAGGATACTCTCAAGTGGCGCTAAAAAGACAAGATTGTCGATGTGCGGCTGCACGGATGGTAGCCGTTAAACGACGCAACGGCTTATCATCGCGGTAAAGCTGGAGATAGCAATCTCGTTATAACTGTCGCGACGTCAAAGGCGGATGATAGCGGAAAACGTCTTCCGAGTCTACACCATCGGCTATTTGTCAGCGCGGGCGTTGTAAATTCTTTGCATAAAGATTACATGCTCCAGTTATCGTTCTATCTACTTGATTTAAGACTGTAGGCTTTATATGCTCATGAAAATTCCCAGCCTGGCTTTTCCTATCTGTTTCAACTTGGATCGAACTTAACCCCTTCGCTGCCTCAAGCGATTGCAATCTCTCGGCGCTCATATGCTGACTAAATTGCCTTCACTTCATGTGCATATTAAAAATTATGGTTTTCGAATATTTTTGTTAACAATTATTAATTTAAGTAGATAATTCAATAGATGGATAATTCAAAGAAAGAAAAAATAAAGGAAGAACGTAATTAGTAGCGAAAAGGTTTAATCTTGCACTTTGTTCGATCAAGCTGAAACCGTGAGTCTCATAATAATTCGTCGAAAAATTGTTCGTGGATTATTTATTAAACTTTAGAAAAGATGCATCACAGGACATTCATATCGTTTACGTTGTTAATCGCTCTCGACTTGAGTTTTCTTGAAATACATATTAATATCGAAAATTAGTGGACAAATCATGTTCCATATCGCTTGTACAATCATGCTGAAGCGCCCATATAGAAAATCCTGTAAAATAACTCCGAATCCATGTGGAGTTCCAGAAAGTTGGAAAAATTGAATCCTTACTGTCGCATTCGGAGGAAGAAATCGAGAAGACCGACTCATGTCAGATGAAGCCCCGTCAGCGTCACTTTGCCATAGCTTCTCCCGACAGATTCCTCTTGCCGTATCGTCTTCTTTTCTCTCATCACCCTCTGTTCGTTTCACGTCTAGAAATATTTGAGACTTCAGAGTTCACCTGACACCCTTTAAGCGAATGCTACCACGCTTTTCCACCGCTATTTCCACGCCAGTCTTTATCCGTTCCTTCATTATTCCGCTCTTGCTTCCTCGCTTTCTTGTTTTGTTTCCCGCAGCTCTAATAATTCATTTGCGCTTTTGCACATTACGTTCTTTATTCTTTGAGATGTTTTGCCAATAATTATATTTTCTTCCACCGATCTCTTTTTTCCCTCGCTCCACCGTATCTGCGTCATTTTTCCGGCAGTATCCTCTCTATCTAAGTTATGCTTTCACGTTTTTCTCCTTCGAAAGTTCTGCCCCACTTTCGTGCGCTGTACGACCGCTCCTTTGCGGTAATTATCGGCGAAGCACGTCGCAGATCCCACGAGAGTATTTTCCTGCAGGACTTCGGCGTGCTTCCTTTGAGTTGCCGGACAAAGGGCAACGAGAGATAGGAAGCAAAAAGGAAGTCAGCGCTGGACGCTATTAAATGTACACGCTCTACCGAGACGTATATAAGCGCGCACGTCTTCCTTGCGGCATTTTACTTGAGATATTTATGATCTCATTCATATTGCTGACCGTAAAATACATTAGATGAAATCGGGTAAGTATACCGGCGGAATTGTCGTATACAGATCAAAAATGTTGTTAGATAACTCAATTTCTTTGTAAAATGAAGGCATTATATGTATAATTTCATGACACGTCTTTTAGATATTGCAAGAGTATATTTTCCATGTGATAACTATGAAAAAATACAATTTAAAATTAACGGTAAAAGAAGAAAATTAATAACGATAACAAATCATCGTCACTGAAATAACAACTAGCTATCATTTATTCCGAGAAGAAACTAGGGAGTGATTAAAAACGATATTAATATAGTAATATCCTGTGACGCGTAATTTTTAAAACAATGTACAAGCGATCCTTTGATGAATTACGAGACGCTCGATTCTAGTTTGCTTGAGAACAGTAAATCTAGATTGCTTTGTTCAAATTATTTTTAAAAAAATATCAAATTTTAGTCGCTATATATATATATATATACGTGTATCAGAAGCCCCTCTGATTCTGATTTATTAAATTACTCGGACGAAGGTCAATGCATCATTGTCCGTACATATCGTGAGCGACTTCGTACTTCTTATGTAGTATCACTCGACACGCGCGAACATCCAGAATTAATCTCCAACATTTTTCTTCGATGGCTCGCATTCGAAGGGGGCGTTATACAAACCTACGGGATATTGCTTTCGCGCCGAGTGCTTTCTTGCGGAAAGGGGGATTCGATTTTCTCGAGCGTCGGAAAATTTAAGAAGAGTTGCACCTTCGAGGGACTTGAGAAAAAAGTCGGGCTGGACGGGCGGGCGGGCGGGTGGAGAGGGACGGCGCGTCGCGACGCGATTGCGGCGACGTTGAATCGACGTCAGTAAAACACGGAACTCGCTTGACCCAGGTTCGAGTTGTGCCGCGGTCGTAGTACACGCCATAAATCAGCCTATCGATCCCTTTCCTTGCCGGCGTCCGCGGGAGAAACTTTTGCCTTCGTCGTGACCATACCAGCGGAAAAATGGAAGCGCTCCGACGCATGGGAGATTAGGGAGGCTTGTAGATGCTGCGGAGGAGGAGTTGGGGTTGGGATGCGGCGGCGGGGGAGAGGGAGGGAGGGGGGGGCTTGTCTAGGCAGCAGTACAAGAAGTTTCGCTTTTGGTCGGACGAGAGAGCGCGCGCGGCCAGATCTTCCCTCTTATCGAATCTACTTGCAGGCTGTGCTCTCCGCAGAAAAATAGATTACGGTCGCGGATCGAGCGCGAGTCGCAAAAAGATAGATCGTCGTTTACTCGTGAGCGCAAAAATTGGTGGCCGGCTTTAGTTCTTATCTCGACGACTCTTCGAAAGAGAGAGCTCACTTGATAAATGGATCTAACGGCGCATCGATATGCGCATCCCTCGGGGAATACAATTTATAATACACATCGTGCAACAAGAATGCAGAACGCTGTGATTTAAAGTACAGTTTTGAGAATGTATATCTTTGGCATTCAATGAAACTTGAATGTTTCTCTGTCATCTATATTGTGCGAATTGTTGCGCCAATTGTTGCGCCAATTGTTGCCCAAATACGTCGATGATTAAGTTTTACGATGAGAAAATTTAACTGTGATACTTGAAGCTTTAATCTTGTTTATTGTGGCACTGCATAATTAGAATTTTTTTTATGATTTCAGATTGGCTTATCAGATGAGCACCATTCGTAATGAACATCATAGTGAACCGAGGTTAGTGTAATCATAAACCTCTCCACGATAATGTTATTAGAGAGATAAGATTTTTATTGCAGACTAATTGAGAAGGCGGGTGTAATAAAGATAAACATACTCAATGATTCAGTTATTATCGTAAACGAAGCGCTACTTATATTAAATATAAAATACGCAAAATGTAGGATTATCACTGTTGTTTTCATTTTCCGATTATTTGAATAATTTGTGGTCTTTTTTCGTTCATTGTTAATTTTTTCCACATTTCAATTTTTAGCTTAAACATCTTGATAATCAAGTCTCGACTCAATATTTTATTAAAGTTTAAATTCAGAAGTGAAATTAATTAACGAAAAAAGTTATGAGAATAAGTTATGAGAATATAAAGAGCATTATAATTTCTTAATTATTCCAAACATAATTTTATTCTCGAAAATTTTTTTACTTTTAGAGATGCTGAAAATCGATTAGAAATTTTGAATTATCCAAAAGAGTTACTCACATTGACTTGTATACCAGCCACATCGTAGATACTGTAAGGTTTTGGATTCTCCGGTGAGTAGCGGTAAAACTGATTATCATTGAGAAACCATTGTACGTTGTACAAAGGTAAACCCTCCAGGTCGTAATGGCACGACAATGTTACGGTATCGCCTGATCTCACCTTAGCCGGTACGTTTATCGTCAGATCTTTCAAACCTGTTGCACCTGCAAACAATAAAAAAAACATTTCATTACGGGGAATGTTCAATGGTGGAGTTTCTATCTGTATGTGTATATAATAATGCGTCGCTTTTGAGCGTATAGATATATATGGACATTGCATTATAATGCACGGCAATCGTGATTAGACTCCGCGAAACGCAGATAGAACAGTCCACTATGCGTGTTGTTCTCTACCAAAGCGTTATGCGCGGTGAATAGTCGTGATGCATTTGATTGGTGCACGCCATTTCCCAATGCTTTTAGGATTAAGCGCCGGTCGGAGAGTGTGACAGCTATAAATAATTCAGACAAATTTTTCACCCCGCAAATTTAAACTTCGCGGCGTGATTTAATGTCCTATAGATTAGTGATTGCAAACTTGTTTTGCCAGTAGTGGACTTTTTATAAGTGGCGGAAAGCGTCAAGCTGAAAGTTTAAGCTCGCTCCATTTAACTTTTGATGTATTTCAAGGAATACGTAATTCTTGTGATCCGAGCAGTAACTAAAATTAGATTTCACACGAATGTTGTTTTGTAAAATTGCATGTTATTGGCGGGGATCAACTCAATTAGTTTGCAATAAATCTTTTTTGTACGGAGGATTAGCCGGTTCCTTTAACATTAATTTAATAAATTAGATAATTAAATTAACAATTATTAATCACACATTTTTCGAGCACTATTTATGTAAATGTATGAAAACGAGAATGCAAGATTATGAAAAACATTGCAATAATTTTTCAGAAGTTATTTATATTTTGCTGAGCTTGTATGAGAACTCGTATTTTCGTTCCATTGTATTTTATTATTTGATAGTGAAAGAATGGAGGATATATTCTTGAGGAGATCTTTTCTCAAGATTAGGATATACCAATCTTATTTCCATTATTTTTTTGCGAAGAAAAGCGTTTTGCTTTTTTGAGCACGTTTCCGTGCAAGAATAATAGTTTTCTAACTGCAGCATCATCAATCTATGTAAAAAATAAGTTGATTTAGTATGCAAAATTGCGAGTCAAGACTAACGAGAATAAATACAACAAAAAGAATTGTTCAAAGAAAAGCGGTTCAATTATCTGTGTCAGAATTTGAAAAAAACGGGAATGACTATATTTTTTGAATAATTAATAATGCTGCACAATATGCGAACATTAATTATTGTGTAGATTAAATTATTGTGTAGACTAAAGATTTTATTAACATGAGTTATAATAGTGATCTTATGCACAATATCTATCATTATGCACGTAATTAACTCAATTAGTATAATTGATTATGTTTCGTCAACATTCGTTAAAGTGTTTAATCGAACGATATTACAACATAACATGAGCGATTTTCAATGTAAACTCTATTACTATTCCGTAAACTCAATTCCGTGCAGCTCCGCGATAGATGTGATGGAACTCGTGGGCATAGCTTTGTTTTCGCGCTCACAAGGATATTACCTCGCGAGGATTATGCGCTATTGAGCAACAAATGCTGATAAGGATTATTCACGGTTTATGAGCGGTGAAAGCGGTGAAATAAGAGCGCTCGAGCAGCACGAGTCATCGAGTCTTTCTCGCAATTTGCGACGCAAGTTGATTTTAACGATCCATTTTTCTCATATCCCCGCATCGTTCGTTTGCACGAGGCGGCGAACCGGGAGACAGACAAGCTCACAAATGATCGTCGCGATCGGAAAACGCTTTACTCACACGCTCAGAGTTGTCGCGGTCGCGAATGTATCGAGATTCCGGCGACGTCGAAATGCGAGGAAGGCGACGTGGTTGTCTTTCAGTAATTTCCACTCGAGACGTTTGCGGTCATCGGTACTCTTGTTCGCCGTCTTTCCGTCGATTACGAGACACTTCGAATCCTATTTCAGCGGTGCGATCAAAGAGAAAGGACAGTCGATGGTCTCTATTACCATCCGAGAGAGAGAAAGAGGGATGCGATCCTCCCGTTCATTCCTCTTTGTCTGTTCCTCGAGAAACCAATCGCAAAGAAGGAAGTGTGCTATCCCGCGCGATCTAAATTAATTCAATGTACGTGTTAGTATTGGGGTGAATGCTTTCGATAAACTTGGTCGAGCGCGCCGCCTCGCAAAGGACGCGCGCTTGCGGCCACAACTTATTCCGGGGTAAACTTTATTCGCCGCCGTCAAGCGCGGAAGTAGAATTTCGGGGGTCGCAATTCCGTAATTAGTATAATAAATAATCCAGTAGGTTACTCCGAGACGTTGTAGCGGTGTTTACATAATGTAGATGCAACGCGCACGTAACGTACTACTTCTTGAAATGGGATAAAAATGCATGAAACGTGTGCCGCATAGAATGTGGCGCTTTCGCGAGACACGGAAGCGTATAACGTTTTTCTCCCGCATAGCGCTTACAAATTTAAGTGGATTCATAAAGTTGCTGATCGTCGACGTTATAGCGCGACGATCAAATTAGCCGTCAATATCAAATTTATTACTATAAATCTACATGAAACATATAAGAGCCAGAAATTTGGCAAGAGCCAAATTTATATTTATATTCTACTTGTAGACTTGAAAAATGAACAATTTAATGCAAGTTGCTCGCTGGAATTTAAAAATTTCTCAATTTCTGCATCCCTCTATGCTTTAGTCTTGTTATGTTATGAACATATACGTTTATATCATTTTCATCGCTCTCAATATAAACCAGGATCGCTGTTTAAGTAACGCCCGGAGCACTTTTACCCCGCGCAAAATTGCATGAGCAAATGGAAGTGCATCTTCGCGGAATAGCTGCGCATAACGTGCAAACGGCGGAACGTCACGATTAGACATTTCGCATACGGCGCACGATGCCCACGAGACGTTTAGTTGCGCAAAGAGATATTCGGCGGGTTGAGTGCTGTTTGTTTTCGCCATTAAGCCGGGAAAATATGGGTTAACTGCTGCCAAGGGCCGCAGATCGGTGATTAAGTACAATAAATAATTCCGTGGCACGGGTAACCGTGCCGCTAAGCTCTGCGTGCAGATAACACCATTGCACGCTCGATCTTGTGCTTTTTCGCAACGGGAGCGTAATTTCGCAAAAGAGCAGGAGATAACATGCAAATGCTGCAACATCTCGTTTCGCAGAATGCTCTCGATACTGTAGCAATTTATTGTCCGTGAAGGCGCGCGCATATAAATACACGTAAAAGAGATATCGCGCCTAAAATGCGGGCAGATAAATAGATTGATATACTGCCAGATCTGTCATAAAAACAAATCTCTCTCTACTCCTCTATAATTTTTACAATTATTCTTCAAGAAAACTTCTGTTTCAATTAACATTGGAAAACATAACGTTTTTCTTGTTACTGCAGAGTTTATTTTTATGACGATTTTTTTTCCCCTCGTAGTTATAAATAGTTACACGTTTTTATGTTGCGGATGGTATTTTATATCACGATGATGGATCATTCGCAAGATGTGTAATTCATTAATGCAAACATTTTTCTCGATATTCTTCATTCTGTATCTTTTTTCTAGTATTTTATCCAACAAAATATATTATTTTATATTTTTACTCATTACATTTAGTTGCGTTTATTTAAGTATTACATATATATTATTAATTTTATAACATGGAGAACCGTAACAATAATAGTTAAAACATTATAATTCATCTCCTAACAATATTTTTAATTATATTTTTTCAAACGTGAAATTTTTAATTTTACGATGCTGCATGTTACATATGATTATCATAAAATATCTTTAGTGAATCTTGTTTTTTCTTTTTTTTTTGTTTTTTGTTTGATTGTATGAGTCCGTATGAATAAATCACAATTGCAAAAGATATGAAATGCGGAATATCATATGGAATCGTTCCGTGTTTCCATAAAATCGATTAGCGCCAGTGCATGATGCATGCGAAATTCAGATCTCATTCTGCGGATACACAACTAACACGTTATACAAACTGTTTAAAATACATTTTAGAATTCATCTACTAATTAACACCGCGTTCGAATTTGATAAATACGATTTATCAGTTGCAGGATTAAATATTTAATTTATAGAGACGAGAAAGAGGAAGAAAAAAGAAGAGCGAGATAACAAAGGCTAATCGCTAACAAACTTGATAGAACATAAAATCAAATTTATTACGCCGGAAGCATTATTTAAGCACTTAAGTCAATAACAATCTTTTCGCGGCCAGTTTCAATGTTTTTATATTATTTGCGTATTACAATCTACCTTGCTGCTTACAATAGCCCGCGCTACTAACGCTCGAAACGCGATAGTCTCAGCTTAATTACTAGTATTCCCAATAAACGTAGCGGAATCCGTTTCGCCCAAACGAAGCCGGTGCGAAAGAAAACAAGCATTTTTCTCCCGATGTCCGTGTTGATTGCAAAATAACGGGCTTTATTGGCTATTACTCTGATTGTGGGCAAGAGCTTCGCGCCTGCCGAGTGCAAGCGGTGGAATGCAATCCGAACGTAAAATACAAATGAAACTCGCGCGCGAACAGTCCGCGATTGCCGATATAACATTACACATAAACAAGGTATGGCCGGTGCTCCCGGGCGGGGGATGTCCGCCATAGGAAATCGATGGGTAACCCCGCGGAGAATCGGCGGCCGCCGTCTGTCCGTCCGTCCGTCTGTCCGTTCCGTAACGCAGCAATTGGTATTTCGCCACTTTTATCGATCGCGATGCGCGTTTACGCGACAGCTCGTCCCATAAGCGTCGAAATTTTTCACACGCGATTTATCTCCGATTTATTTCCCGGCGTGCGGCAGTGTCGTCGTTAGCGCAAACGAAATTTCGAATCGGCCGCTCTTGCCGAGCCACGGCTCAGATCGTTAAACAACTTCGGGCGAGCAATTTAATATCCTGTTCCCCGAACGGTTATGCGAGTTTGTTCCGCGCGGAAAATGTAACATAATCAGTTGCAAAGTTGCGTATCGAGTTGAACGCTGAAATTATTTACCGTCGCTGCGTTGCTGCGCGGATGTTGCAATTAACGAGCCGAACGTGACTAGGTATTTTGCGCG